GTTTTCCTTTTTTCTTTTGATTCTATCTAGTAATAAGTAAATATTAAGTTAGGTTTCTAATCATTAATTAATCTAGTTGAAAGTTTTAATGTTGCATCATATAAGTAGAGTTTTTCATAAAATCTTGGTTCTAAAAAATTTAAACATAGGGCTTAAAATGACTAAAGGTGTAAATCCTTCACTTAAACTTATTTCTGGATATACTTGATTAAATGGCAGTAATCTTATTCATCCTAATTTTCTTAATTCAAATAGTTTCGAGTCATATATATTCTTTTATTTTCCATTTGCAATTTTTTTTTTTCAAATAATTTATTGAACTATATGAATACAAATTAATAATTTTCAACACATCTACACTTTTAATTTTGTAATGACACAATAATCATAATTTCCTATTTTTTGTTCTGAATTGATACTTCCATAGCTATTGATAAATTCATCATTTTTTTTTAAATTAATAATTCATCAACTTTGTTCTTACTAATGAGATTAATTTTATCTAGAACTTAACATATCAATTTTATTAATAGAATTCTTTAAATCATCTATTTTAATCTAAATTGAATTGGATTTATTATTATTTAATTTCAATTATTAGTTAAAAAATTTTCTCATAGTCAACGAAGTATTAAGGTTTTTTATACAAATATCATTCAATTTAGAATCCCTCAATCATACATCCTTACTATCACCTGAGAATCGACAAGATAGGTTAAAGTAAAAAATTCAATAAAGCCTTAATAGTTGTAAACAACCCACCTAACTTAGCAACAACATCCATTATAGTTTAGTATATGGTAAAGCATACTTTTTTATTAGTATCCATATGTAACTGAATTTTAGCTAATGTAGTGGCATCTTAGAAATAAAGCACACTATCAATTAACTGCCTTTTAGTATTCAAATCCCTCATGATACATTTATCTAAGAAAAAATAGAAGGAATTGCATTCAAGGTAACTTTAAGAGTATTGAAAATAAATTTTGATGTATTTCCCAACTTTGAGATAAAGTGATGTTAGATCAATATTTTCAATTTTCTAATATGGTGAGTCAAATGATTCCTTATAATTTGATGAAAAGAATAGGAATAATAAAGAATTGAATTTGCTATAAAATTAGCAATCTAATATTTTCTGAGTTTTCTAAAATATTTAGATTGTTTTTAGGTCAAAAAAATCAAAATGATAAATAAATAAAAATACAAACAGCTTACCTGTATTTTTATCGATTTCATCATTTAATGCACAATCAAAAACTTTGAAAATATCTTACTCTATATTTCAGTGGTATTTGAAAATTTTTCAATTATTATTAAAAATGAAATAGTATTGAAATGCCCCCAATAAAGTAAAATTATTATAAAGATTTGATCCATATTTATGGATTCTCTTTGATATACTCATGACTAATACAATAGATAATATTTTCATAAGTGTATGGTATATTTAATTACGAAATTGTGATAATTTTTTACTTTTGAAGCTGCGTAAATTCTATCACCACATATTGTTACTGGTATAATAATGCATGCTGTTTCATTCAATTCATGATTTATAGCACACATAAAATCCAAACTAAAAAATTCTGTTGACATTATTGGGAATGTGTTGAGCCAGAATATCAGGCAATCCTGCTGAAAAAATCAGTTCAGTAGAATTAAAGCTGAAACCCTAAATCATAAAAATGACAAGAAATTACTTCATTATTTTGAATGACAGCATCTTAAGAATTAAATATTGCATTTTTTCCTTTTTTCATTTCAAGAATAAATAAACTACCAGTATTAAGAAAGATGCTAAATAATAATTAAGTCATAAATGCTCCAATTTGAGTTTAATAAAGAGACTAGCTCAAAGCTTTTAGTCTAATTTATTATCTAAATATGTCCAATTTTCTTAATTTACGTCATAATTCTATAAGAAAAATATGATTTATATATTAATAATTGGCTTTATATTTTGCTGCTCTTTGATATTGCATTTTATTAGAAATATTGTCTAACATAAATTGTCTGAATATAAACATATATATATGTAAGTCATTTTTAATATGAATCACTTATATTTTTATTTTATGGATTACATAAAAGACATGTATTTTATCATTTATAGATATTAAAAGGGATAAAGAATAAATTGAATTAAATTAGAAAAATGTAACCACATATAATTTATCTAGTAAATAATTGAAATTAAAATAAAGTATTTTACATTTGCTGAGATATTATTTCTTTTTAGTATAAAATTGATACAGCTATCTTTGGAAAAATACGATTAACATTTTTAGAAATTGTTAACAAATTTTTTACATGATTTATCAATTTTATCCATAAAAACTTGTTTATGTGGAATGGTTTCTGGAGTGCTTTTGTTATATATTTTATATATTTTGTAAAATTTATCATATGATAACTTTTTATGCTAAAATATAACTATAGGTAGATGAATAAAGAAAAGAAGTTATTTCCAAAAATAGTGAATTCAATTTATAAAATTTACTTTATCTGGTTATAAATCCATTTTACTTTTTATACAATAATATATTCGTTATTCAAAATTTC